AGGGAAGTTTAGCTTTAGGCATTTTAATTTAAGCATGTTTAGCTTAGTTAACGGAAGGCTACCTGCTGCCATCAGAGCAAGTGTAATTACTGCAATTAGTTGTGCTTTTAAGTCGGAATGTGAAAACCACATGGACACTCTCGTCACTACAAAGATGTGTTGGATTTGTATTATTAGACCTTTCTGACTTGAGTTCACGTGCATTTTCTCAGTCGGGAAATTATTTTTCACGTGCGGTGGCGCGATGATGTTTCTTACGTCCGTTTCGGAGAACCAGAGGACAAATATTTCAATCGATCGCTCAGGCATATGACAATCGCATGCGATTTATCGTGCAGCCCTAAAAAAATTAATAATTTTGATGGCGGTTTCTGCGGTGGCGAAGAAACGTAAGCTATTAATAAGATTAGTATTGACCAAGTTCAGAGGCTGTCATATGGGGATCAACTTACTTTGTTGTGTATTTTCAACAGTTTCAATATGAAAAACAACTTTTATATTGATTCAATGGATTTATTGCATTTTAAAGAAGAAGAAAAAAGTGTCATGGATTTATTGCATTTTGGGGAAAAAATTATAACATTTTATAATAAATCTTTGAAAATCAAAATCTGGATTTGAATTTGTAATGTTATTATAACCTAAAGATGCTATGTGAAAGTTTGAAACAGAAAATAGTGGTTTTCATCTTGCCACTTTCTTGGAGGTACCGGTGCCATATTGGTACCGGGTTTCGGTACCCAACCCTAGCTACATTACCCATGATACTGTGCAGAAAATCTCATCAATCAAAGAGTTGCAGCCAGTAAATCACACCAAAAGAGCTTGTGGGAACTGCCTTCTCTCATGCAGCACCACAAACGATACCTACACTTTCAAAATGCTTAAATATTTGTATATATATATATATATGATGAATCGCCTTCGATTATGAAAGCGATATTGCGTAGCTTGTCAGTAATTTACGGCTCTGTGTATTAAATCCTGCTCCATCTGAAAGCACGTGATGGAGATTTACTTCTAATCACAGAACTGGCTTTACTGACGAGATGCGCATGACAATCGCATGCGATTTATCGTGCAGCCCTAAAAAAATTAATAATTTTGATGGCGGTTTCTGCGGTGGCGAAGAAACGTAAGCTATTAATAAGATTAGTATTGACCAAGTTCAGAGGCTGTCATATGGGGATCAACTTACTTTGTTGTGTATTTTCAACAGTTTCAATATGAAAAACAACTTTTATATTGATTCAATGGATTTATTGCATTTTGGGGACAAAAATAATCAGTTTTTTTAAATAAATCTTTGAAAATCAAAATCTGGATTTGAATTTTTAATGTTAGTATAACCTAAAGATGCTATGTGAAAGTTTGAAACAGAAAATACTAGTGGTTTTCATTCCAAAATCAACCAACTACAAGGTGAATCACAACATTACAAACTTTAGCGAGGGAAAGTACTAGAATCCCATGAAGCATATGACAATCAAATAAAAAACGCTGGGTGAAATATAAACCAATTAATTTAAAGTTGTTGATTCTATAGAAACAATATGTTTTAAGTTTATTGCAAAATATGCATATTTTGCAATAAACTTAAAACCATTAATCATACGCTTCATGTTTGTAATGTTGTGATTCACCTTGTAGTTGGTTGATTTTCCCCTTTAGGGATTTTTTAAAGTTTTTGTTAAAGCCATGAACTAAGGCTTTAACAAAAACTTTTTTAAATCCTTAAGGGAAAAAAATAATTTAAAAAAATACTAATGCCAGTAAAAAAGTGGACGGGCACTAATGCACTCTATAATAATAATAAAAATGTTTGTCACAAATATCATTGTAGTTGCTGTTTTTGACTATTTTATTTATTTTTAATTTTGATGTGATTTGTTTTAATAAAAAGTGTATATAATGTAAAAAAAATGATACAGTATTGATTGCTTGTTTATTGTATTGATTGCCCTGGTAAATGGTGTACACCTTTAACATGGTAACTGTTTAAACATCAAATGGACCTGGATCATTCAGTGATTACACCCAAACATGCCCTGCTGAAAAACACCGCTGAGACCAGCCAAAGCAGGTTGGCTGGTTTTAGCTGATCTTCCAGCCGGGACATTTCAGGTTTTGACCGATTCTTTACCTGGTCAGTCTCGGAGACCAGCTGACCAACCAGCTAAAACCAGCTGAACACCAGATTGATCAATTTAAACCAGTTAGCCTACACCCATCTTAAACCAGCACAGGCTGGTTTCAGCAGGGTGGGAACTTTACTTCCTGATTTCAGATGTCCAGTCAACAATCTGCTGTGGCCAGAATAGGCATTTGACACTAGTTTTGTTCCACCAGCATAAACCATGCAGCCTAGATATTTCTTGATAATTTTTTAACAGTAAACTATAGTGTATAAACCATATTTCTACTCTGACCTGTACGATCTGCCATAGGTTGTTGTTAGCTATGTTGTTTGACATCCAGTGGCATGACTGCACATTTCCCACCTGATGTTATTCAGTCAAATTCCAGTTTGATCATGCCTTTTGATCACATGGGACGCGCCTGTAGCGCCTGTGGAATCTGCATGCGTTTGTAGGCATATACTCCAGCATTCACACCAGCGTTCACATGCTAGCAAGTCGCATGCTCATTTATACCCACAGTCGCATGCATACGCATTCACTGGCTTACTAGACGCTCAGAGAGAGGGGGGAATGAATGCAGCAGTTTTGAAAGAGCGTTTGGCTCGGTTCAAATAGTTGCCATGGTTTCAATATGTTGCCATGGAAACACAAGCTGCCAATAAAATGAATCTGAATGCAATCTTTGCAGCGAGAGTGGGGATGAAGGGAGGAGAAGGGTAAAGTGAAGCTGAATAAGAGGGAGAAAGCGCCCCTCCGGATTGCGTCCCACAGTAAAGTGAGCAGTACGGCGGAGGTTTGGCGGGGTGGGGATGTTTGCTGGGAGGTAAGAGGAAAGAAAACAGCGCCACAGAGAAAGCAGGGGGTAAGCGCTAACTATTTTAGGCCGCCTGTCGTCATAGTAACGACAGCCTCGCCATAGCATGAGGAGGTAGTGTGAGAAATGTGAGGGAGAGAGAGATAAACACAACGCTTTGAGGGCTCAGGAAATGTGTCCTACGTGAGTCACGCCGATGACTCTCCTCAAAATGTCATGGTTTCTGCTCGAGAGCCGCAGCTTCGGCTGCTCCCCGGACCGTCTGCAGGTCTCGTTTGTCTTGATTTACCGCGTCTATTCGCATCTCTCGCTCACGGTCCCCTCGACCGCTTCTCACCCCCGCACGCTTTCCTCCTTGCATCGCGTTCCCAACTTCCCTCTTGCTCCCTCTCTGAAGGACAGAGGTATTCCCACATTTCTTGGTCGCCATGGCAACGCTGCAGCAAGAAGGGAAGAGAGGCCATGAGAGGGAGGAGGGGAGAAGGAGAGATGAGGCTGGGGATGTGTGAACAATGCTAATGCTACTTCACCAATTGTGTATTTACTCCTCCTCCTCCTCCGCTTTCCCTGTCTCCTCTCGCCCTCACCCCGGTGCTGTTTATCTGGCTCCCCTCTCCCGCGGGCCCAAAACTCTCTCTTTGAACAGTGCTGCCATTATCTGTGTTATGGCTGGGTCATTTAGCCGACGCCAGTATCCAGGGTAACCGGGGAGATGTGACATTGGTTCCCCACGTGAATACAAATATAGACAAGTATTCATCAATATCCAAAAGAGCCATTATGGGTGTAATGGCCGAGGCATCCCTGTCAGATCGCGCTATAAATAATGCAGTTTCATTAGAATCCAGCCGCAAGTCCAGCAGACTTCATCTCAACCTGATTGAGTTTATGCCCTGCCTATGGATGTGTGTGTGTGTGTAACGCTCAGTACCAGAATGAGTAAATAACTCTGCCGGTAAATCAGCTCAGGTACTGGATCTGGCGTCAACAGGTGTGTGTGTGTGTGTGTGTGTGTGTGTTTGGCACAATCACCTGCATTTACATGCAGAATTCATCTTCTTCCGCCTCACAGCGTGTGTCTCATCCTAAAGGCTTTTCTTGGTTTAATCTATAAATAGATATGCTTTGATATCAGTAATTTAATTGAACGCAGCTTATCATCACTTTCTGAAGCCTGTTGAAATGGCCTTTTAAATGGATAGGGTTTCCGAGAAATTACAGGCACCATGAAATCAAAATATTGCAGTATTTATTTATAAATGATTTTCCCGTGCACACCATAATTATTTTTATTATTATTATTTTTAAACAACTCGCCCTCTTCAAACACGTCTTCTGTGATGACGTGTCTACTGGCACGACCTGTCACTCACATGAGATCGCGGCAAACCTCAACGATCCAATCAATTTCCAATGGACAAAAATAAGTCCCGCCCGACATTTTTTCTTGTTCGAGAAGCTTTCACTCGAACATTATGGAGAGCCAGAAGTGCCACTTAAAAATAAAATGAAGAATCAATTTAATAATTCAAACATAAAAATGTATATAAATAAATCACTTTTTAAATGATCAAATTAATACACATATTTAATACACATAAAATTTATTTTTTTTATTTGTTTTTATTGTTTTATTAAACTACATTTAAAAACACTAATTAAATAAACAACTTTAAACATGTGTATTAATTTGTACATTTAAAAAGTAATTTATTTATATACATTTTTATGTTTGAATTGTTAAATTGATAAATTGATTCTTCATTTTATTTTTAAGTGGCACTCGTGGTCTTCCATAGAACATACGTCACAACAGAGAAGAAAAGGCTATTAAAACTTCCTTCTTGTGCCGACTTTAAAATTATGTCATGTTTTACTGACCCTCATGTTGTTTCAAACTTTGGTCACTCTTATGCATTCAATCAATAGGACTGGGGAATTAAATTTTGTTTGTCAATCCAAACTATCATATTACTTTGGAGGATGTGCAATATCGCTCACAAGTCATATGGACTATATTTTAACAATTATTTCAACTTGAAATCTTTAGTCTCTATTTAATAGAACTGCATTGAAATAAGTGACTAAA